GTGACTGTATATAAAGAGGATCACTGACTGTATATAAAGAATCACTGACTGTATATAAAGACGATCACTGACTGTATATAAAGAGGATCACTGACTGTATATAAAGATGATCACTGACTGTATATAAAGACAGTGACTGTATATAAAGACATCAATAAAATAATTAAAACCAAACTGATGAGAAACGTGAACATACATCAGTGTTTCGGTTTATGACTAATACTGCAGCCAGCCACCAGGGGGCAGCCACTTTGGCTTCACTTTTGGCAGCCGTCATGTCGACCATGTTAATTTACAGTCTGGTGTTTTCATACGTGGGCTGGTGTCAGGAGCCACGATGATGATTCCGTGCTCTGCAGCAGCGAGTTGACAGCCGGCTTTGGTGATGACGTTCTGCTCCGTGCACGTCAGACCTGCACAGAGAATGAAGAGACTTTCCACTGGGACGGTTCGAAGACACGTGAGACGTTCCTGTCAACAAACTGTGAGGCTCAGACTCACCAGAGAGCCAGTAGAGGACGGGACATTTGTCCGTCTCGGCCTTCGGAGGCAGGTACACAGCGAACTTCATCTTACACTTCAACTCAGTGCTGAAGGAAACACACACAGATTATTTTCCACCTGTCACTCACCTGCTCACCTGAGAGTCTGAGGCCACGAGTGAGCGTGAGTCAGAAAAACTCAAACTCACCTTTCGTGCTCGAAAACCTTCTGGAAGCCGCCGGCACACTTGTTGGAGGAAACTTGTGTCACAGCCATTTTTAAACTGGGAAGAGGAAACAACACATTCAATTAGAAATACATCAAACGCCCATGATTCATTGTGGTTTCAAGCTTTTTATCTCATTCCAAAAATGTGGTCAGATTTCTGTTTTCAGACGTGAGAACGTTGAACTCATCCCGTCGGCCTCTCAGTCAAATATCAGAGCGGCTTCGTGTGACAATACAGCAGAGGAAAGTGATTCTCCATAAAAATCCAAGTATTAAAGAGTAAAGAATAAATTAAATGAACCAACAAGACAATATGTACATTACACTGACTCCTTACTGAAGGAGAAATGTTGAAAATGTACTTGAGTAAAGTGCAGAGGCTCAGGATGTAAACTGTGTTTTCAATGATTTAAAATAAGATACTGAAATAAACGTGTATATATATTAGGGCTGTCAAACAAATACACATTATAATCAGATTAATCACAGAGCAGCTCTGGATTAAT